ACACCTGAGCTCTGATAGTGCTCTCTGCCCAAGGCTGAGAATGAGCCATGGCTGTGCCCCAGGGGTGTCAGCAGGGCAGGCCCACAGCGCCCCCTGCTGCCTGAGGACCAGGGGCACTTACAGGAAGGGAACCCTGGAGAGAGACAACTGCACCCCACGCTCCCTCCTCACAGACAGGGCACTCGTTACTGCCCCCGAGCCTCCCCTTCTGGCTGCAGCCGCTGTTCCACAGCGAAGCCCTGAGCCCAGGGAAGTGGCTTCCATGGGACAGCTGCTTCCTCCACGTGGATCCCTGTAGAGGGACCCGGGGTAACCCGAGCTCAGAGAGCACTTGTTCCAGATTCAGAACATCAGAAAGACAAAGGCCAGTGACAGCCCCGCCAAACCAACCGGCTTCCCACTGTGGCAGCGGTGGGGGTGGGCCTTCACCTCACCCTCTGGTTCCTCCCTGTCAGCCCTGATTGGAGGGGGGACAGCACGTGGAGGTCCCCAGGGACAGCGAGAGAGCACTCAGAACGTCTCGTGGGTGTTCCACTCTGGTGGACCCGAACCCTCCTTGGAACAAGCCAGTTACCTTCAGCCTAAGCTTGGACCCACGGGCTGAGCGAGCCTATAGTTTGGGGGTACACATCTAGAATCTGGAGACTGGGGGGTGAGCAAGAGTTTTGGGGAGAGGGAGGCCCTGAGGCTCTTCCCGGGGGAAAGCTGGTTCCAGGAACTAACATAATAATCCACACCGATGCTTCCAGTGCCGGACAGAGTCATCTTCTGAGCGGGAGCCCCAGACGGTGAGGACAGCTGAGTCAGCAGACCATACTCAGGACCATAGAAAATGGGGTGCAGAAACACACCCAGCGCCAGACGACCAGGAGAGAAAGGACAGCCGTGCGTGAAACCCCAGGACACTTCCCCGGGACTCAGCACTAGCCATTTGCCCACCAGCGACAGGGATGAGAAAGGCTGTGGGCAGTGAGTAGGCACGGGCCATCCGCAGGCTTTTCTCTCACTTCCCTGTGGGCCTTGCACACAACACAGGCACCAAGCAGATGTCCCAATGAGAGGTCATCATCAGCCTCATCTCCAGACTAGAGCCCAGAGAGGGAGAGCCCAGGCTGCCTGACCTGGAGCCCAGGAATCCCTCTGAGATCCCCAGGAGTCTTTGTAGTTCTGTGGGTCAGGAGTTCGGGAACACGGCCCGGGGCTCGCTGCAGCCAAGCTGCTCCCTGGTTGCCAACATGGCTGCTGTTTTCAGGGCAGGCGATGGTGGCCATCTGTCCTAGGCTCTTGGACACTGAGGGTGGCTGAGGCAGCCCCGCCGGGGCCAAAGACCGTGGCGGGGGTGCGACAGGGAGCACCGAGAGCCGGGTGAGTGAGGGAGGGGAGCAGAGCTGAGGGGGCCCCCACGGATCTTCCACCCCGGGCAGGTCAGGTGTCACCAGGGCACAGAGTGAGGAGGATGATGGGGAGAGGCACACGGGACACAGTGCAGGTACTTAAGAGTTCTGTCCTCTGAGACTCCAGCAGGGGCCTGGGGTTGCACTTATTCTCTCCCTAAGGACCTATGGAGGGAGGGGTTTCTCCATTCAAATCAGTCCTTGATCCCTGACACTCCTGGGCAAGGTCTCTGTGGCAGAATAATGCCTCCCCCGCCCCCACAAAGATGATCATGTTCGAATCCTTGGCATCTGCCCAGATGTTGCCTTATATGGGGAAGGGTCATTAAAGGGGCAGATGGGGATGTGAGCAATGTGGCTGCGACGTCTGTCACCCCACTGATCAGCAGGGTTGATTCCGCTGATCTAGCGGGCTGGGCAGGTGTCCCCTTCCTCCCTCCCTGCCCCATGTGGGTCCCTCCTGAACCTGCGGGCTCCATGGAAGAGGACGACCTTCCCCCACAGAGGAGTTTTAGGTCAAGGGTACATGAGCAGCTGCACCCCCTGCTAGGATCTCCAAACTAGATCTCAAGGTCCCTTTGTAAGGAGAAAATGGGACGAACTTCTAAGACTCCAGGCACAGCCAAATGAGGCACTTCATGTGGCAGTCTCCCTTTCTAGAAAGAGGAAAAGAGAAAAAAAGAGAAGATTAAAAGAAAAGAGGAGGGGCGCCCAGGTGGCTCGGTCGTTAGGCATCTGCCTTCGGCTCAGGTCATGATTCCGGTGTCCTGGGATCGAGCCCCGCATGGGGCTCCCTGCTCGGCGGGAAGCCTGCTTCTCCCTCTCCCACTCCCCTTGCTTGTGTTCCCTCACTGTGTCTCTGTCAAATAAAATCTTTAAAAAAAAAAAAAGGAATAGAGGAGAAGGAAAGAGAAGATTAATGAATCGTTGAACACTACATCAAAAACTAATGATGTCTTATATGTTGGCTAATTGAACATAATAAAAAAATAAAATATAAATTTAAACAAGGGAAGACAAAAGAGGAAAAGAAAAAAATAAAATTGCAGATGGAACTAAGGTTGCCAATCCCCTAACGAAATAGGGAGATGATCCTGGATTATCCACCAAGTGGTCCCAGTATCATCACAAGGGTCATTACTAGTAGAAGCAGGCAAAGAAGGGCCAGCGTTAGAAAGGATAGGAGAAGGAATTAATCAGCCACTGCTGGCTTTGAAGGAGAAAGGGGCCACCGGGCAAGGAACACAGCTGCCTCTGGAAGCCAGAAAACGCAAGGAGACGCCTTCTCTCCCAGCGCCCGCAGAAAGGAACACACTGCTGACCTGTTTGTCTTAGCCCACGCCAGACCTCTAACCTACAAAACGATGATACTGCAGTTGTGGGGCCTGAAGACTCTAGGTTTGTGGTAATCAGTTATAGCAGCAATAGGAAATGGATCCAGGAACCCCCACATCGTCAGACTGAAGGATCACCATCATTTCAACAATGAAGGACACTTACAAAGAATTACAGTTAACCTAACAGTGATGGAAGACAAGATGATGTCCAACGGCAGTTGGTACCGATCCTAACAGAGTAATCTCTCTAGATTTCCTTCCGCTGCATACTGCTGCTACGTTCTGTGCCTCCCCGCATCTTCAGTGCCGGTCAGTATCCTCTTCTGAGGATACACTGACTGGGGCGGGGGGGGGGGGGGATAGGTTGATATACATCCTCACTATTCCCAGAGTCAGAAAGTTCATTTTTCTTACATACTTCATTGCTAGTTAGGCCAAATCCATTCCTGAAAGACCATTAGTTCCTCAGCACCTACTCAGCAATGTGAAACTAGGCACTGTGATACATTGTAGAAATGTGATTTACAAGCCTTTGGGAAGGTAAGGCTTTCTCCTGGAAATGTTGACTACCAGCCTCCTTCGCCGAATTTATGCAGCACAGGTAGGCTAATAAAATCAGATAATGCCTGAGTCACAAAAATATTTCCATGTATCTTAGAAAACCAACAATTTTTTCTAGCCTGTAGATTAAGAAACCTAAGACCAGAATATGTTTCTAAAATAACAAGACCTGATTCAATGATTTTAATATGGATATCTTTATTGGATCACATCATTTTAAATTTAGAAGTCTAGAAGTTTTTCTATAGTGTTATAAATGATTTTGATTGTACATATGGGAGATGTTCAGAAAGTTTTAATAACTACTTTGGATTTGTTCCTTCCTGTTTTCTTTTTTTATAGATCTTTAGAAATGTATTATCATAAGTCAAATTCTAGCATCAGAAAAGAACATGTTGCCTTAATTTATCTTTAATGATGGACCCATCCTCTGTATTCTACTCATCATTATGGGCAGTCCTGCTAGGTAAGACGTTACCTGGAGTACAACGTATTTTTAAATGACTTGTTTTAATTTTATTTCGTATAAGACTGGTTCAAGTTGTAAACCTAAACTGATAAACTTAGAACCAAAGCAATTATATTGTTTTAACCATACCCTTTTTGGTATGCCTGAAGCTAATCTACTCCCTACCACTGGCCAAAATACTATTTTATTTAGGAGTATCAGAAAACAAAGTTTTACATCTTGTTTCCTGAATCTATTTCAGGATAGTTTCAAGGGGGAGAGAAAACAATGTTTTCAGGAGAAACATAATAGCTTCATTTTAACCAATTACTCAAGACTGCTGATTACTGCCCGTTAACAGGGTCCTCCCCCTCGGAACACGCACAAGAGAACTCATGAAAAGGCAGCGCTCATGGAGCTGTTTCCCTTCTTTGTGGAAAAGGGACACAACAACTTCAATGTTCCAAGAGCTGCCAACTCTTAAACCACAAGGCTCTCCTTATTACAGCTCCAAAGTTACGTTCCAATTTCCATCCCTCTGAAGAGTAATCAATACTACATACATTGTGTTATTTAAAGTTTTGTAGGAAAGAAATAACCTAAGAAATCCCCATTGAATTTTGACATTTTGAGAGCTTTGCTGCCCTTTAAAAATAAAAGGTTTCAAAAAGATATCATTTTCCAAGCAGAGTCCACTTGTTCGTGAGACTTAATGCCCAATCTCGACGATGCATGGTGTCGCTTGCTCAGAAGTGCCAAGTGTTGAGGCGTGGCCAGTCATAAAGTCACTAATCCACTTCAAAGGTGAGTTGCAAGACACAAACCTCATGGTCTGTTCTCCTGCCTGGAAAATAGAAGCAGCATGTTAAGTCAGTGGTCGTCCCGACAAAAGGGCACACCACTTAGAACCTCCATGTCCTGTCCAGAATGATTAGAATTTAAAACTATGCATCTTGGGGCACTTGGGTGGCTCAGGCAGTTGAGCGTCCAACATTTGATTTAGACTCAGGTCAGAATCACGGGGTCCCATATCGGGCTCCGGGCTGAGAGTAGAGCCTGCTTGGGTTTCTCTCCCCCATCTCACTCTCTGCCCCTCCCAGCTCATTCTCTCTCTCTCTCTCTCTCCCCCCACCCCCCAAATACATATATCTATGTCTTAGAACTATGCATCTAAGGGAGTATTTCAGAAGTGCAGCTTAAAAAGAAAAAAAAATTTACAAATGCTGGTTTTCAACACATTGTCAGGCTGTCTTCTGTCAGTCACAGGTAGAAGAGACGGCTTGCCAGGGAATGGTGTGGTTCTTGGTGAATACTCTGGCCCACAAGGTAAGCCAGTTTGTGGGCATAGTGACAAGGAGCAGGAACTCGAATGACACCCTTCATCAGAAAGAAGAACAACAATTTTTCTAAACTTTCTATCGAAATTTAACCTTTCAGAGATACCATTTCAGAAGGTTCAAAAAGTATAGCTCCAATTTTGAACAATCTTACAGATCTAAAGGAAAATGCATGAAAAAAAATACTTACTGGCAGATTATAATACATGTGGCATAGTCTGTAGGTGAGACACTGTATCCTATCTGGGGTGAAGCGAACCGTGTCGTGGATGACATTATAATGAGTGGGGGTGACAGTACCATCTTTCACGGACTGACTCACGATAAAGAAATCATACCTGGAATTGCAGAACACATGACTCTAGACTACAGCTTGTTTTCAGAAGAAAAAGAACTTAGCAGGGTTCCTGGGTGACTCAGTCATTAGGCGTCTGACTTCAGCTCAGGTCATGATCCCAGGGTCCTGGGATCGAGCCCCACATTGGGCTCCCTGCTCAGCGGGAAGCCTGCTTCTCCCTCTCCCACTACCCCTGCTTGTGTTCCCTCTCTCGCTGTGTCTCTCTCTGTCCAATGAATAAATAAAATCTTAAAAAAAAAAAAAAAAAAAACTTAGCAAACCTAGTATCTGACATGACACAAATGGACAGAACCCCATTGTACAGAGTTTCCTTTACATTCAGAAGCCCGCCCAACTGCGGGGCCAATGATTTGGGAAAGCAAGTCCATAAAAGGCTGTGCGGCCACTGACACAAGTCATAATGCTCATGGGATTTCTACAGAAGCGTCTGCCTGATGCCTCCAGGCAGAAACCTGACATTGGCACGCTGGATACGGTCCAACAGGGAAACGCAATTCAGAGCTCCAGGGATGGATGCTTTAGGTCTCTCACCGAGAATCACCGAAATCTATTCAAACCCCCTAATGATAGAAATGGCAAGGTTCATCAGCTGCTTGTAGGTACGGGATTTCTTCTCATACCTATTAGGTTACGCTTTACATTGATCATCCTTTCCCACTTGCTTTTTGCTTTAACCCTTTCCTGCCTTCTACTAGACTGATCAATGTTTGTCTTTCCTTCATTTTCCTTCATTTCTCCCTGTCGGCTGGTATGAAGGTCCTGTTTCATTTCCCATCCTGGGTTCTACATAATGCTCTCATTTGCACAATCGACAAATCTCTGCCTAAGTTCTACCATTCTTCCTAACAAACCAAGAATCTCAGTATGTTTATGGTATATACTTTAAATTCTAGAAGAAAAAGACAGAAACCTCTACAATCCCACGTGTATCTGTTCATGTAATTTTTAACCATCTTTAGGTCAATCCATTCTCTAAACCATGCAAACCTTTAAAAAACCCTCTTTCTATTTGAGTAAAAGAGAATATTTATTTAAATAAATAAAAGGGGGGGCTTACCATTGCCTTTTGGTCACTGCCACATCAGTAACTGTTCCTGGAAGTGGGTTTCGAAGTCTTCCTTCAGACTCCACAAAAAATCTGGTGTTTATTCGTTTCTTCACCACGATGAAAGTTAGTTTGACCCTTGAAAATAAGGACTGGTGTCACCAGCTGTTCTCTTGTCCCAGAGGCATTCAGAGTATTGAAACACCACACACACAGGATCCGTTAAGAATCTGCAGAAGGCAGTTCCCCCCAACACCCCAACTTTATGTCCTAGCTCCCTGTGCCCGACTTAAGCAGTAAAAGATGTTTCTATTCACAGCCACCCACATCTTAGGGGGAGGAACTTCCTCACAAGGTCACAGCAGCTCATATCTATGCTGGGCGCCAGGCCCCACCAACAAACGGAGGGGTCAGAAGAGGCAGCTGAGAGGGATCCCCAGCCCTGCGACCTACAAACTCCAGAATAAATGAGCTGCCTAAACACAAACCACCACCAGGCTGTGTTCGTGGATTTTAATGAATAGCTGAGGTTAACCAAGCACCCCCTACATCAAGGCTTGCAGGGAGATTAGAAAAAAGGATAGGTTCTTAGGGATTCCACGGGAAGAATGCAATCTGGAATGTTGCAGTTCTGCTCTGTCCTCCGACTTGGGTGTGGAGCACAAAGTCCAAGAATGAAGGGTCATCCGTCCTCTCCCCACCCAGCGACTGATGCCCTCTGTGTCACGCTCTCTCTTAATTTGCATGTCATGATGGTTACAGATTCGTTTCAAAGACTGAACTGTGGAGTTTACAAAATATGTGCTTTACAATTTATATACCCAGAGTCTTTAGGGTACACAGATTTTAAGGAGGACTCGATCTGTGGTACTTCATGGTCCAGCAATGCTTGAAGCTGACCGTCCCCGACTCCATCCCGGTACACGATGATAGCTTGTGGCAGAAACAGGTTATGTTTACACCAGAGCTTCAGGGCGGCTGGAAGGAAGCCAGAAACTTGGGTAAATAAGCCATAACTCAGAACCAAATGACCACTGCAATTTGTAACAACTTCAACCCTGTAGCCTCCAGGACACTGTCACTGCTTTTAAGTCTTCAGGCTAGCCCAGCATTTCCCGCGAGCACGACTACTGAAATTTTGAGCCTGCTAATTCTCCATAGGGTTGGGGGTGTTGCTGTCTTCTGTAGCATGCCTCGTCTCTAGCCGCTAACTGGACACCAGTAGCACCTCCATCCCAGCTGTGACAACCGAGAGTGTCTTTAGTCATTGCCAAATGTCCCCTGGGGGACAACTACTGGTATAGAGTCAGGCACTCCAACTTTGATGGGACACTGACCTTCCAAGCAGGCTTTCAGCCCATTCACAAGCTCCTGCCCCGATTCCTGGAAGAGGCACTGAGAGAACCACCTGTTGGGAGAAAAATCAGCCATCGGTTTCAGAAACAAGACTGAAAATATCATCATTTTGATTCTGAGTTCATCTGGGACCTCTGGGGAAAGAAAAAAATCACTATGGGTAGCCGTGGATCCAATTACGGATCCATTCTTTGATCCCCCTGCAGAGATTGAAGCATTGGTCTCCTCCTGTACCCCAAGGCATCTATTAAAATTGTGAATGCACACAAATAGGAATTCAGAATGGAAGCATTCGTTACCATTGCTCCAAATTATGCGCACTTTCACTGTGCAGGACTACTGCCGTCTCACCCACTGGTGGACACGATAGAATAAACAGCCAGTGTTCCTGGAGATTCCTGCTTCCGGGCTCATGTCTTAAACAATGGCTCATCAATGATAATCTGCCTTGTGGGAGCCATCTGCTTTGGGACAGTAATAGCTACTTGAGCAATATTTGTCTCCAGTTTCTATCCCCTGTATTTTAGTTACTTCAAAGTATTACGATGACCTGACATGTAATGTGTTTGTTTGCCTGCTTCTTTTCCAGAATGTACATTCCATGTGATGAGATCATGCTTTTTGGTGCAACATTTTCACTGCTCTGTTCTCAGCATTTGAATATAGCGAGGGATCAAAAATATCTATGAACTGAATGAAAACTTAATTTCCTTCCCATTGTTGCAACATTCTTTTGTACCTCCCCGCACCACACAAAAAGCAAACCAATGTTATTATATCAAAATAGAATATGACTGGAAAAAAATGATGCCATTTGAGAAAATAAAGATGGATCCTCCTTAAAGAATACTCTGGAATTATACCTAGTGGGCCACGATCATCAGTAAGCATAGCAGTGATTTGTGATGGTCATGCATGTCCTAGTGCTCAAGAAACTATAAACTGAAGAGTGTGTAAACTCATCTGAAGGCAGGTTCTACTCTAAGCACAGACAACAAAAGTGTGCCTGGAGCAAAGGAGAAACATGGGGTATGAAAGCATGTCTTCTTTGGCAGGTCCCTTACATATAGATGTATGAAGACCAGATCCTGTACCTATAGGCTGCGGGTTATATTCCTAGGTCTGTCTTCCCCATGTGGGGCCTGAGTTCTTCCCCCTGTGTTCATGGTCCCCAGGCAGAGACTCACTGCTCATCAGAGCCGCTGGTGGGCAGAATGCCAGCTGTCCTAATGCTCGGAACCTGTGACTATCACATTGCCCTGTGATTATGTCCTATGGCACGGCTGTCTTTATGAGGAGGTTTTCCAGCTGGACCTTATCTAATCTCATGAGCCCCTTGAAAAGCAGACAGTTTTCTCTGGTGGCAGAAGATGAAGAGAGATTTGAAGCAGAACAAGGCCTCAGTGTGACCTGGGGGAACAGGGCATTCGAGAAGGAATGTGGATGAAACCCAAGGAGCTGAGACGGGTCTGTAGCTGGCAGCCAGCAAGGAAATGGGGATCTCTGTCCTCTGGCTACAAAAAAAAAAAAAAAAAGGATTCTGCCACAAGTATGTGCCCTTGGAAGAGGACCCCCAGCCTCCAGAGGAGAACGTGGCTTGGCCGACATGTGCCCGACCCGAGAGCCACATGGTGCCAGACGGCTGCCCGCCAGACATGGGCGCAGACACCGGAGTGTCCTCTTAAGCCTCCATATTTGTCATAATCTGGTAAGCAGCAACAGAAAAATGATACGGCGCCTTCCACATCAAACGCTTTTGGAGCATAACTTTGCCAGAAGAGGAAGAGAACACCTTGTCCGTGGACCTTGTCAACCAACACTAGTTGGGCCCACCTCTCCTGGTGGGCCCACAGCTGGCTGTGATCTATACAACGTCGGCTGAAGTCCACTCACTGTGTCAATTCTTGATTGACGCTGGACACAAAGCCTGCAATAGACTTCCGCCGACGTACAAAATTGTGGAAACAGTCGATACCGATGAACATCGTATTCTGTAACTGAAATTTACAAAAAAAAAAAAAAAAAGGTAGCACATGGAGTTAGAACACAATAGGAGCAAAATCAAGCAATTACATTTTCCAGATAGGTAAACAGAGTCTTAACAAATTCTACTGAACACAACTGAAATAAAGAGAAGGCAACGAAATCCAACCTACTCCTGTGTCCACCTTCCAGAGGGCACCTCCCATCTTGCAGTTCATCTGCTGGGCAAGCTTTGTCGCGATGGTCATCAGCGTCTGAGGTTTGTCTAAGGTCCGTGCGATGACACACTGGCTTGGGATTGGGCAACTGACACACAGGTATTGTTTTATGCTATCATACAGGTCTTTCTTTTCACTGGACAGCACGCAAACGACCTTGAAAGAAAGCAAAAGTCCAGGACGCCACCACAGTGCTAGAAGAACTGGAAGCCACATCAAGGAAACTGTAGGTGGAGCACTGATAAAGCAGAGTCTACTCATTCAATCATAGCTGGTCCATGAGGGCAAAGGGTCTGGAATCCCAGTCCATTAAATAATTGAATTTTTTGTTTTTTTGGGTTTTTTTTTTTTTTTTTTTTTTTTTACAGATTTTATTATTTATTTGACAGAGAGAGAAACAGCATGAGGGGAGAGGGTCGGAGGGAGAAGCAGGTTCCCCGCTGAGCAGGGAGCCCGATGTGGGACTCGATCCCAGGACCCTGGGATCATGACCTGAGCCGAAGGCAGACGCTTAACCAACTGAGCCACCCAGGCTCCCAGTCCATTAAATAATTGTGAAGGTGACCACGTGGAAGAAGAAAGTCTGGGAGGCAGGCACAGGCAGTATGCATGAATCCCTTGAACTTGCAAAGCCCTTACATCCTGGTTATTCTGTTTCCAGAAGTTTATCATGAAACTAATATGGGAGGGTTCAAAAGCACAGACTGAAATGCACCATTCTCAGGACAGTCACCTCGTACAGGCCGGATGCCATGAGATGGGCACTTGCCAAACGCTGCACTCGACTCAGCTCATTCTTCAATAACCTACTGAGATCAACACCGTCCCCATTTTGCCCCCCAGCAAACAAGCTCAGGAGTTCTGGGAACTGCCTGATATACAGACAGCAGGCAAAGTTTCCAACACTCGTTCGGACCTCCAGCAGGACACGGAGCCGTGAGGAAGGGCAGTTACTGTGTGGCTGGGTTTAGACTGGGACAGGACAATCCTCCCGGTATTGTTCTTGACATGTATGTATTATTATATGTATATTATACATTATATATTTTTACATTTCATACTTTTTTAACAATGATGCTTCTAGGAAGGCTTTCTGCGGCAGATATCCTCAAATTAGGGACATTCTTTTCTCATTCTAGATGAAGTGAGTTTTTCTTTTCACATGAAGGAATGTGGAAATCTATCAAATGCATTACATGCCTTTTGTTTACATTTTATCTGCAATTCTCTTTCCTAAAATTCACCACACTAACCAGTTAATTACTTCTTTTTCTAAAAACTTGATTTCCGGTTTTCAGACTTACTGGCAGCCCTGGCCCATGGTGTTCTCCTAATATTTCTTTACTCTGCAGCATGTCTCCTAATCATGAACTCTCCTTGTTCTTAATGTTGTCAAGCCTCCTTGGGACTCTCTTCTGTACTCTTGACAACATCAAGTTTTAATATTTTTGGCTTTAGATTTGTTGTTCTGCTTAGTTTCTGCTTTTTGTTATTTATTTTGTTCTACTTTATTTTGGTTCGCTCTGCACTTAGTGCATTAAGATTCAGACTTCATTCCTAATGCATTCATCAAGGGCCTAAGGCCCCCTGTCATTGTTAGTTTGCTCTTTGATACAGGTTTTGATGCATACTACTTTTTTTTTTTTTTTTTTAAAGCACCTCATCTTTTGGGTACAGATTATACACACACACACACACACACACCCATCCCTCCTCTTTTTATATATTTATGTATATTTTAGTAGGTTAGTAAATCAAGCTTTTAAATTTAAGTGCAACATCTTCTAGATTCTAAGTTTTTATGTGATGATTTCTGAGTTTTCTGAGAGCAGTCAGCTAATGTCTCGTACAAATTCGGTTTCTGGAATAGCACGGGCCAGTCTCCTCCTAGGAAGAGCTGTTCAAGCTGATGAAAATACCAGACTGTGCCTCTTTGGGGCTCAGCCAGTCTAACAAGGTCATAAAGTGATAGGGTTAAGACAGGAGAGAAGTAGGCCACTTTCTCCCAAAGGGTCTGGCCACCCCCCAGTGAACATATCTGAAAGTTTGGAGACCATGAACAGACTGATAGCCTCAGAGAAAAGGACAGAAAGTGGAGAAGACCCTGCCAAGGACAGAGTACTTGAGATAGATTTTGAGTGTCTACCACTCAGAACTGAACAGATGTGATTTATAACACTGTGTATCAAGACATGAAGCCACTAACAAATAGACACCTACCATCTGTGTTTTGGAGGACACATGATTTTCTAATGCGGTTGTATAGGATTGGACTGTATCGCTTACTTTAAGTCTAGAAAGTGAGTATATAACATCTATATTCAAAAGGTAATGAAGAGTAAACATTTTATGCAGCACATGACTCACGATATAAAACAAAACAAAATACAATGTTAAGACAGTTACTTCAGTTGCAAGGCTTTTTTAAAAGATTTACTTATTCATGAAGGAGGGAGAGAGCGGGCCCATGTGCACATGGAGGCAGGGGCAGAGAGAGAGAGAATCTTAAGCAGACTTCTCACTGAGCCAGAGCCTGACCTGAGCAGAAACCAAGAATTGGACGCTTAACTGACTGGGCCACCCAGGTGCCCCAAAAGTTTGTTCTTTAAACAAAAAGAAGTTCAATTTTTGGCTTCCTTAGCATGTATCCCAATAGCCACAAATCATACATCACAAAAGCCTATTCTACTACCTGTTACTGGAACAGACTAAACTTTTTTGTTTACAAACTTTCAGGGTTTTGATAAAGTGACCAATTCATCTAATTTAGTCTCTTCTGATTCCACTTTCAGATAGCTAACAACCGGTTTTTAAATGGAGGTAATTTCGGCTCAACTCACATTTTTGCCTCTCTCATAGAGATGCCCATGGTGGGTGTGACCCTTCGTAGACTCTGTAGAAAGGAGGAGGCTGCTCTGTAGTTTCCTGTAGGATAGAGTATTAGCCAATGATCTAGTGACTTCACATTGAGTAAGGGTCCACTTCTTGTCTCTTTTGACCAATCTGCAAATTGTGGGTGGGAGTCAAACTGGAAGAGATAGGATAGATTTCGTTTAAAAATTTGTATAATATATATATATGTATAATGCCTTTGCTGATCAATATACATATTGAAGAGCCTTTCCAGTGCCAATCTGTGCTACTTCCTTTTGAAAGGTTACCATTTTAAATTTCAATCGTGACTGAATTACTTATTTTTTCCTTAAGATAGAGGGGAGTAATACTGGAATTCCATCATGGGTTATTCTGGATTGTCTGGATTCTAGGTAGTTGACTCTTAAGGAAACATTTGGAAGATTGTTTTGCCATGAGAGATGACCACAACACTAACAGATAAAATACAGATGCCAAGGATCCTCTATGCCAAGGATGTTCTGTGCATTTTAATGGAACATCTGCTTGCTCTCCCCTAGAGGAAGGACAGGTAGCCCAAGGAGAGAGAGAGAGAGAGAGAGAGAGAGAGAGAGAGAGAGAGAGATAGAGAGAGGAGTGACAGGTATTGACCTGAGTCAGTTCCTCCACGTTATTCATTTGACCCCAAATGACTAAATGAATAACTAAAACGGGACCATTTTGAAAGTGTCTTACCACTCGTCTTCCTTGAAAAATTCTTACTTCTTTCAAGATTCTTCCTGAGAAGGACAAGAAGCTGGCATCAAATTTCAAATCCCAGAGTTGAAGTTCCTGTTGTACCTCCTTATTTCTGAAAGGAAAAATATTTCCACAGGATCAAACCTCCTTCAAGGAAATAAGCAAAAGTAATGATCCATTTGCAAAATTCCCCTCTAACCTAAGATGCCTTGTCGTTGGTCCTCTGTGCTGACATGGTGCCAAGAAGGTCCCTAGTACTCGGAAATCACGTCTTTGCTCTCACGTCTGCGCTTAGGATCTTTCTATTTCATTCTCCCCCTCCAGACCTCCCTGAACTTTGCATTGACAGAACAAATAGAGTTGTTCCCCCAAGAGGTCATTTTCTTCCAACCTGTCATTTTTTAGTTGGAGTATCTGAGATGCCAAGAGTTCTGCACAGGTCTCAACTTCAGGAGACACACACACAGAAAACAGCACTTACGTCTGTATAGCATTCATCAATTTTTGTAATTCGTGCTGCCTTTTTTCTGGATCCAACCTCATATGAAGAGCCAAGTCTCTCATCACCCTGTAATTTTTGCACAGATCATCTGTTAGACCTTTGAAAGAAATTAAAAAGATATTGCTCAACAAGCAAGAATAGATTTATACATGAGAGGCCTTGGTTTTATGTGGAAGAGGAAGAGCCAACGGAGAGAACGCAGCTCTGGGTCACATGGAGTACTGTGAAAAGCATGCACCTCTACATCATGACATCTGGGGATGAAAGGGGTGGTCTTCTATGAAGAAGGCATGAATCTGCAGTACCTGTCAGGTTGCATAGCTGAGGAACCAGCAGTACAGGCTCATGGGGTGTGTCCTGTTGGCTCTTTTTCCATTTGCCTTTGCTGATCAAGAGTGGCTGATTAAGTTCAGTGACCACTTGATCATATCGCTGCTCAAAAGAAGCAAGAACGAACACTGGCGTGACTATCACCCAAGCCCTAGTAAAGTCATATAAATAGGTACAACAGTGCCTTTTTGGATCACCAACAGAGGCCCAGGGGTGTGCTGGGGATACTGTTTCCCCAGGTTTAAGAACGCATTAAAGATACTCTTCATGTTCTCTTAATTTAGATGTCCCGGGGATGGCCTTTTTTTTTTTTTTCCTATAACACACGGAGCCGAGGAGAATGGGACCCACAAACTTTATATTGGGGTCATTGTACTAGCCTTCTTTGACTTCATATAGGTAGATGTGGGACCAACTCTTGGAATATGTATTTCTCGCTACAGTACTGTCTTAAAAATTCTTTACACATAATTGAGAACTTTCAAGAGGATTCCCAAACTGACAGGGGACAACAAACCCGGCCATGTTTTGGAGCTGTGATACCACAGCTATGCCAAACATGCCTCCTCTGTCATTGCCCCTAAACTCTTCCAGCAGGAAAAGGTGTGTGCCAAGACATCCTATCCAGAAGGTCCTATCCCTAGGCTCCAATTCCTGTACAACAAAGTGCCTTTACTCTCCAACACAAAGTGATGATTTGTCATAGATCCTTTCATGCTCATCAGTGAGGTCCTCAACTGTAATCAGTTAGCCACATGAATTCTGGTAGGATGTGTCTATTAAGCACCTTGAGAACGTCAAAGGAGTTCCTGAGACAAGAATACTTCAAATCTGGTGTTCATGGCTCTTTTCCTCTTGAGCTGAACTACTACTTTTTTTTTTAATTCTCACGATCTTTTTGCAGACCATGTGTATTTTTTTTTCCTTAAAGTGGTCTGTAGTTATTTGAAAGGCAGCCGGGATTCACCCCCATTAGCCTGGTTCTAGAGTCTTAAGGCAGAAGCTTGTACAGGTAGATGTATATACATGTATGCAGAATCATAGTGTCATTTTAGGGCCTCAACCACCACTCCTACCACCCAGTCTAGCAAAGCCTTTGTACGAGCTATTCTTCCTGTTGAGAACTTTGGGAAGCATGCTACTTATTTCTTACAGCTGTCCTGTGACATCCTAGAAGGCTCTCCCGCAACATCAACTTCTGCATCTAAATAATGCAAAGCGGGACAACAGAACTATTATGAAAACTTCTTTGAAAGCCAGGATTGTACTTTCCTTCTAAGGGCTCATCTGTGGATCCTGGGACTCTTCTAGGTCTCATGACAACACAACTACGTTGCCATCTATTATTAGACTGGGTTCTCACCAGGGCCTCCCGAGACTACCCAAGTCATTTCAATTATTTCAGCCCATCTGTTTTGCTCAAGTAAACCTGCTGAAACCATGGTCTTATGTTTCTTTTGCATCCAAGGCTCCTCCTATCAACACATGCCAAGAAGGTAGTTTGCTTTCACATAAATGCCCTTTCAAGTTATTCCCAAACCTACTGCTCTGTGATGCCAGCATGTGTGAACTATTATATATTATATAAATATATATTATATATAATATACAATATATATGTATGAACGTCTATGTACTAATCATGGTATAAAATGTAAGAGATATTACAAGGAACAAAACCAACATTGTCCTGCCCCAGTGGAACTCCGTCTACTGGCAATGGGAGAGATTCATAATCACTCAAATACAGAATTACAAATTTGGATGGATGCTCTGAAATGCAAGGGGCGTAACAGAACGGGGGGAGGTGGCCACAAAGGCCTTGAGATTGCAGGCTAGTGTGAGGGGGCTGGGGGTGCAGATGATGTTGGGATACCCAACGTGGTTCTTTTCAGTCAAGGACCTTTGAGGTGAAAGGTGGAGAATGAACAAGCAAACGTCAGCCTGACATCCCTGGCTGCAACTCCATCAGAGCCCAACAATCCCCAAACCGGCTCCTCACACAGACTCTCCCATTGCAGTAAATGACACCAGCCTCCACCCACTTCCTTGGATAAAGCCAGAGTCTACTCTTACTGTCTCTCGCTACATCGGAGCTGTCGGTAAGTCCTGCCCATTTGCACCTATCCTCCCCCACTCCAGTGCAGGTTACCATGATCACAGACCTACACGGACTTAACCACCTCCCTACTGGTATCCCTGCCTCCCTTTTTACCCAAGACAGCCCATTCCCTGGACATTAGACACACATCTGTAAAATAAGATACCTCACTTCATCCATCTGTATAATACCATTGGACAATAAAATCCCATTTGTCCAGGTAGACAGGACTTTATACAACGTGGCCCCCACCTTATCCTCTGCCTTCACAACCTCCAACCCATACACGTCCCGTCCATAACTGTGTTTACTTCTTGACAGACCACTCTAGACTCATTTGGGATCTGGGCACGTCAGCCCCATCCTGGAGGTGGGGTCTCTTCTCTCCTCCCCAGTCTACACACAGCTTGCTCCTTTCTGACGTTCACACAGCAGCTACTCAGACTTCTAGGACCAGCAGTCTGAGCCACCAGACATTCTCCACGATACCTCTTAATTATCTGCATATATCCCTCAATATAGGTTTTCTTCTTGTCTGCCAGCTCGTCCTGCCACAAGGATGCAAGATCCTTAAGAACAGAGAACACAGTGGTCTTACCAACGTATACCCAAGATGTGTCATGGGCCCTCATTACATGCTCTTTGGATTGAGCAAACAAGCACCTAGTATGGAGCACCAGTGGGGATGATGCCGAACTAGCACCACCCCCTTGGAGGGATGTCACAGGGCTCTGTGGAGCCTCGTGCTTCCAAGTAACTAGGTTTTGCATTCCTAAGAGAAAAATACAAGCTGTTCTTTTTAATTATAAGCTCTTTCCATTTGCTACAAATACCTGTAATTCCTTGAATTCTTTCTCTTACCTGCCAAAGCTAGAAAACAACCTCATCAATTTGTGTATCTTTGTTCACTAAGCTAAGTTTACTTGTTTCTTTGTGAACCAAGATGGAGGAATTCAGGAGTTATGAGATTTAGCACAGAAGTGACATCAATTCAGATGATAATTGGTCTTTTTCTTCTTTTTGAACCAAATTCTATAGGGCTGAAACTTCTACGTAAGGGAAGTTGTTCATATCTGAAGTCTTGACATTTTATTTTCTAGCCAATAATCCAGCATTTTAAAACTACCATAGCCCCTTCTAACACTTACTGGAGAGGTCATATTGGAGCCATTCTAATTATATGACATTACCCTCTATACAAGGCACTCTAATACATGGAAAATAGATACAAGTCAAGTGACTTGTACCTATTTTCAGCCCCAAAGAGAAATTTTATATTATATACAAGATTATGACTCATTCTGTAACACATGACTATAAGTTATACATATATATCGAGACATATTTGAATAAGAAAAAAAAGGATTTAGATACATTGAAAGATTTCCTACCGTCTTGTAGTACTCTACAAAGGTGATTTTGGCACCATCTGATGTTTTAAATGTAGTTCTGGGAGTCTCCTCCCAATTAATATCATCCACCCTATAGGTTTTGTTGTTAAATCTGTGAAATAGTCACAACATATGGTATTACTCCTAACGTATTCATTGCATGGGCTCATGCAAGAAACAAGAGGCTTTAAATCCTACAAGTAATTACAGGATCTATCTGCTTTATCATATGTATATTCTCTCTTTCTTATTCTTAGTATATTCACCTTTCAACACAACCCAAATACCACAACCACGAGCAGTCACTCCTCATTTCCACTAAACTCCCCCAGTCCTTAGGCAACCACTAATTTAGTGTCCATCCCTACACATTTGCCTACCCATCCTATTTCACGTGAATTGAATCATACAATACGTGGCCCTTCCTGACTGCCCTCTTCCACTTAGCATAATGTCTTTCAAGGTTCATCCCTGCTGTAACATGTTCTGTCACTTAATTTTTATTGCCAAATAATACATTTTATAGATGTACATTTATTTCTCCATCTATCAGTTGATGGACATTTGAGTTGTTTACACTTTTGAGCTATTATGAATAAGGATATTATGGACATTCATGTACCAATTTTGGTAGACATAGGTTTTCATTTCTTTTAAGTATATAACCAGGAATAGAATTGCTGGATCATATGGTCACACTATATTCAGCATGTTGAAAAAGTGCCATACTGTTTTCCAAAGAGACCATACCATTTCACATTTATACCAGCAGAGTTTGAGGGTTGGTTCCAATTTTTTTTCCACATCCTTGTCACTTAATATCCACCTTTTTTATTTTAGCCATCCTAGTGGGTATGAAGTGGTATTTCACTGTGGTTTTACTTTGCACTTCCCTGAGAGCTAATAATGTTAGTATTGTTTCATGTGTTATTGGTCATTTGTATATTTTCTTCGGAGAAATGTCTATTCAGATCCTTTGCCCATTTTTTAAAAGCTGGGTTGTCTTTTGATTAGTGTGTTCTCTATATATATAGATGCTAGTTGTTTATGAGATAGGTGATTTGCAAATGTTTTCTCTCATTCTGTCTATTGTTTTTCACTTTTGACTTGAAAGAATGAACATTTTTAATTTGATGACGTCCAATTTATATTTTTCTTTTGTCATCCCTTCTCTGTTGGTGTCTTATAAGATTTTGCCTCACCCAAAGTCAAGATTTACTCCTATAATTTCTAAGAATTTTATACTTTTAACTCTTACACCTTTAGGTCTATTTCTAGTTAATTTTGGAGTTAAATTGGAGTTAATTTTGTATATTGTGTCAGGAAGGGCCAGGTGGATATCCAGTGGTCCCAGCAACATTTGCTGAAAAGAGTATTCCCTCCCTAATTAAACTGTCTTGACACTCTTGTTGAAAATCAACTGACTATAAATGTGAGGGTTAACTCTGCGATTCTCAGTTCTAGTCCAATTTTTATGTCTGTCCTCATGCCACTGTCTTGATTACTAGAGCTTTATAGTAAGTTTTAAAATTGGGAAGCAGGAGTCCTCAACTTTACTCTTATGATGTTGGCTAACCAACTTTAAATCCACACTCTTCTCAACTTAAAATATCTGGTCTAAAGGGAGAGTAACAATAGAAAACTTCAAGGGGGAATTTGCTCATGGATTATAATTAAGCCCTGATTTTTAAAAAAATAGACACAAAGCGAAAGAAATGTGGAAGGAACATATTCTGTTACTGCAAGAGAGGGTTCAGAGCAGATGACTGGATCAGCATTAGGAATTCAAGAACAGTGAGGTCTACAACCCAGCTGTATCCCTCTCTCATGCTATAGAACCAGATGAGAAAAGCATGGACTGGTTCTGGCCTATGCCGTGCTAGGTCTGCTTCTGCACTTTAACACCGAGTGATTTGAAGTCTATGGGAACACCTCTTATTGGGGGGTGGGGGGTGGGGAGAAGATGTCAAAGTGATGGGATAGGTTTTTGTTTTGTTTTTTTAAAAAGAAGACTTACACTGTAGAAACAATTGATCCGACTAATTGTTTAGAAACTTGCTCCTGAAGATCTTGCTTTGCGGGGAAGCCATCACGAAGAGCCGATATTAAATCATAAGCCGTTTGCATTCGGACCAGTTTATGGTTCACATCAGCACAGAGGGTAATGCTGGTTTCATACTCAAGAATAGAAGTAACATATCCAGGCCAGATTACCAGGCTGCAAATAGAACACATTAGAAGTGAGTATCAAACTCCAAGCTCTGAACAAAGAAGTATCACAGGGCTGAGAGTCAGGGTCTAAAATTGGTGCTTAGAAGTCAAGTAAGAAATGCTCTTTTGAACGCCCTTTCCAATAGATACTTACCTGATGTGCTAGTTATCTTTGTTAAACCTTTTTTATTACCACCCACAGGATCACACACATTTGTACACATACATACATATATATTAGTATGTATGTATACCTGTGAGAATCTATAGGATATAGGTGTATAAATTATAAACATTATGTGAAACTTTCTACTTTATACCAACTTATGATCGCTGAACTCAGTGGCCTCACGCTTGTTATAATAGTTGCGACCAACTTGCTCCAATTCCATCATCTTCAAAATTCTAGAAATTGGAAAAATAGATTTTGTTGAAAGTACCATAAATATTATTAAGCGTTCAGTAACACACATGAGGATACATTAGGGGGAAAATTATATGCTAGCGACTTTGTCTTTCTAATAATTAAAGGGAAGCGCCTGGTACAAGTAAATTACATTGTGAGGTAGATATTAAGGTTCATTTAACCTGTTTTTCCCTACTTTCCATAATATACAACAAACTGTCATGGAAAGGCCATTAGCATGTCCTCCATTCCTAGAAATGAACCAAAACAGCTTTTGCAGACTATGTGCCTCCAATTTTAATTTTGAGTATCTGTCCATCGCTGTGAACGTAGAAAACAAGTGAATTTGCTCCAGGGAGAAATATGCATAGATATGCATAGTTGATGTCTGTTCCTCCTTCTAGACCGGAACCAGGCGTGGGATGTGGGGGGAGGCAGGGAGAACAACACTGGGGAGACGCCACAGAACTTAAACATGTCTAGGTGAGGTTCAAGTGCCATTTCATCTCCAAGATCCTTTGCTTTCCCAGAATGAGGAGGTGTCAAGAACAAAATTCTAGGAGCAAACATCTATGTTCAATGCCACTGACACACTGACATACAACCAAATCTCAAGGAAACGAAATCTTATGGACACACCTTCTAAAAATGATGTTGTAATAGCGTAAACAGTCCAGCGAGGTGGGCATGAGTTCACTGGTGAATTCAATGGTCACCTTCACAACCTGTTTTTTCAACAGGCTGACCAATTCCATTTTCTGAGATAAAGAAAAAAAAACAAAAAGGTCTAGCAGTCCTTCCAAGGATAGTAAGCTCATTATTGGACCACAAGTCAATAGGTCATTTGGGGATCCAACACATGAGCACGGCAGGAGCCATCTTGCCCCCAGAGCCACATGCAGGGAGAAAATTGGATTTATGAGACCAAAGTGAGGAGTCAGAATTAAACATTTACAGCCTTTTTTTTTTTTTTAAACAAGCTCCTGTAAATGATTCATTTGGTAAATATAGAAGTTTACTGAAGAAAATATTAAGTTCTTCTAAAAATTTTTTTTGCTGAAGTTTTAGAGAGCAAGAGATAAAGACTAAATTATTCAATACTTCAGCATTTGAGCCGTATTTGCCATTGAAAAGGTAAAAAAAAATTACATGTATATATTGCTCTCAAATTCATTGTAAGCACTGAAATGAGGCAAGAAGGAACATCAGTGATAACCACACATGGCATATGGGTTTTGTTACAAGGCCTACAGGCAAGAGATCTTCAGGCAGTCTCCTCAAACCATCATACAAAAATGTGTATTTGCTCTTCTACGGCGAAAATATGAGAGAAAGAACAAATGTCAAAGTGTCCAGGGCGCCTGTGTGGCTCAGTCAGTTAAGCGACTGCCTTCAGCTCAGGTCATGGTCCCAGGGTCCTGGGATCTAGCCCCACAGTGGGTTCCCTGCTCAGCAGGGAGTCTGCTTCTTCCTCTCCCTCTGCGCTGCATGGCTGCTCTCTCTCTCTCTCTCTCACCCCCCTCAAATAAAATCTTTAAAAAAAAAAAGAGAAAGAAAATGTCCAATAACAGTACTTAACTGGTGATAGTAGTTTGTGAGGTAATAATAAAGAGCTTCCATCAAATATGACACTTTCCAATTAATGCTTTATGCTGAAAAAGCAGTTCTGTACGAACTTTTCCATCCTCAATGTCTGGCATGTAGTCAATGTTGTACTTATATGTGACCTGCTGGGGGCGAGATGTCACTCGGAAATGGTTTGTGAATAGCTTTATGGGTCTACCCTGCGTGCCTGCAAAAATGGAGTCACATGTCAATAATGAAACCAGCTGAACAACCGCACCCAAAACAACGTGGACAACCTGATCCTGAGAGCCAAAGTTAGGCCAGACCAGGACATTAACCACCAAACACATAAACATTTATATACACCTGGTGTCCAGAATGTGTACCATCCATTTAGATGGGTCCTATGTAAGCATACTTTGAGAGTTAAAATAGAAGATTAAAATGTTTAACAACAACAAGATCAAAAGCAAAATCTCTAACACAAGGCTTCCGAGGGCGGGGCGAGGAGGGTGAGCGGGGAGCCATAATGTAATAATGTAAACACTGTAATAACGTTTAGTTTAAAAAAAAAAAAAAATCTCAGTGGGTCCAAAGACCTGGGTCATTCTATCTTAGTAGCTCTAAATGGAAAAGAGAAAAATGAAGAGTCCATGTGGACTCTAAAATAGGTCTTTGTTTCTGCAGAAGTGGGTGCTATCACAACAACCAGAACAGATAGGAGGGTACCTCCCCTCACAGCAATGGGATGAAGCCTCAGACCCACTCTTAAACACAAACCAGATCGAGGAGGGGAAAAGATGGCAGAGGAGTAGGGGACCCTATTCCAACTGGTCCCCGGAATTGAGCTAGATATCTACCAGACCACTCTGAGCACCCATGAAACAGCCTGAGATGTAAGAAGATCTGGATCTCTACACAGAGAATATTGCAGACGGTTGGTTTTGAGGTACAAAGCAGGGAGCTGTGATTCCGCGGGCAGATATCAGATGATAAACGGCAGCAGGAGGGAGCCTGGTCGTGGGGATCCTACACCGCCGGTGAGTGACAGCCTTGCGTGCTGGAGACAGGGCACAGACTCGCAGACCGGTAGCAGTGGAGAAGGGACTTTAGGGCAGCCCCCGGGATGGAAACCCGGAGCGGCAGTGTCGTGCGTGCGACCTGGGAGTGGCTGGTGGTTTTAGAAGCACAAAGGGCAGGGATGTGCCCTGACCTGGAGGCAGGACTGGGGGTGCTGCTGAGGGGTGCACAACCCAGGACGCTGCAGTTTATAGCAGCACAGACAGAAACGGAGATAGTGTGGCCTGGAGAGCTCACTGAAGAACAGACTGCGCTCTCTCTGCTCTGAGGCAGAGGGTGGGAAATGGTCTCTTCTGCTCTCTCGGAAGAGACACGGAAAGCTGCCAGAGAACAAAAGCCCCCAAAAACCGGTTCCCACTGAGCCCATCCCCCACCACAGGGAGGCAGGGCAACTGCCCAAACAGGGTTGCCTGAGTAACAGCGTGGCAGGCCCCTCCCCCAGAAGATAGGCTGGGAGAACAAGAGGCCAGCAACCCTAAGGTCCCTAGAAAACAGGTGCATCTTGCTTGGGTTGTGGTCAATGCTCCATACATTCCCTCAACTACCCATCAACAGAATGACTAGGAGGAAGAACCCCCAAAATAGGAAAGACTCAGAGATTATGACTTATGCCACAGATTTACAAATGGATGCAGATATAACCAAGATGTCCAAGATGGAATTCAGGCTAGCAGTTGTGAAGACAATGGCTAGAATGGAGAAATCAATTAATGGCAACATAGAGTCTCTAAGGGCAGAAATGAAAGCTGAACTGGCAGAATTTAAAAATGCTATCAATGAGATCCAATCTAATCCAGATAATCTAACAGCTAGGGTAAGTGAGGCAGAAGAACGAATTAGAGACCTGGAAGACAATTTAATAGATAAAAAGGGAAAAGAGGAAAAACAACTCAGAACCATGAAAATAGAATCAGATAAATAAGTGACACCATGAAGTGTTCCAATGTCAAAATTATTGGAATCCCGGAGGGAGTGGAGAGAGAGGACTAGAAGATGTATTTGAGCAAATCGTAGCTGAGAACTTCCCTAATCTGGGGAATGAAACAAGCATTCGTGTCCTAGAGGCAGAGAGGACCCCTCCCAAGGTCAAGGAGAACAGACCAACCCCCCAGCCTATAAGAGTAAAATTCACAAATCTTAGAACCGAGGAAGCCATCCTGAGAGCAGCTAGGGGGAAGAGATTCCTTAC